GAACCCCCCGGTTTCCATTTCCGTTTGATTCTCCTTAGGGTAGTATCCCTACGTAACCGCCCCTGTAATCCTTAACCCTAAACCCTATATGGGTGGTTGTCAAAATTAGGGTCCCTTTTTGGATCCCTATTCTAATACGGCACCTAATATTTAGGGTACCCAAAAAGGGACCATAATTTTGACAACCACCCATATGTATAACCCCTATATAGCCCCAATATTAGGGTAGTTTCCATTTTCCATTATCCCTATATAACCCCAATACATACCCTATAATCCCCATACAAGTAAGATCCTTAACCATAACCCCAGTCACGAGGTAGGACAAGAGCCGGGCGAAGTATCCCGCCATGGTTTTGGCGCTCGGGTCCAGGAGATTCCTTCGTTGTTGTAAAGAAGGGTTATACTCTAAACCCTAAGCCCTACAGTAAACCCTAAAGCCTAAAACCCTAAACCCTAAACTCTAAACCCTAAACCCTAAACCCTAAACTCTAAACCCTAAACCCTAAACCTTATGACCTTCGGGTTTAGGGTTGAGGACCTGAGGAGCTCCGCGGTTTGGAGGGTTGGAGTGTTGGGATTTGGCCTTTGGGATTTGGAGATTGAAATGTTCAAAGTTTAAGGTTGTGGGTTTAGGGTTTAGGGTTTAGGGTGTGGAGGTGGGAAATCTGCCAAAACCCTGGTGTATCTTATTGGGACCCTGGGTGGCGCAAGGCTTGGTACATCCAACATAGCTGTCGTCTCAACCAAACGAGAAGATTTCTCTGTGGTTGCAGTTGCATCAAAACTCCCATACTTGGAAGCCCTGTGATTCTCCATTTTGGGGTTATAATTTCCTTCAAAAACCAAGGACGAAGTAAGCCGGGCTTCGCGCGGCTACCGCGCACGTAACCAAAGTCGGACTGGTCCGGATTCGATGGGTAGGAGCAATCCTGGGTTGCCATTGAGAAACTTAAACGGAGTCACCATCATACGGGTTTAATCATACTATAGTAGTTTCCATGTTCTTTTCCATTATCCCAAAATTACCCCTATATTATTCCCTATGATTCTATAGTAGCTTCCGTTTTCTTTTCCATTTTTTTGGCGGTTAGAGGTTTTAAGTCTAGGGCTAGCTAGCTGACAGTATGTAGTAAAAAACAACAAAAGCCATCCTATCCTCTCCCCCTAAAGGGTTTATATAGGGACATAGGCGTTATACAGGGATAATGGAAAAGAAAATGGAAACTACTAATCATGGAACTTTCCCCAACCCTCGCTGTTGCTCGCACCTGGCATGTCCTCATCATGGAATCTCCAATAAAATTTCTGAACAGCAACTCAGAATCCTGGGTTTGATTCTTGGCGTCCCCGAAAAGCCAGCACGGTTGCGTGGCAAAGTTAAGAACCACCGAGTGGTTCTGCCCATACACTGCATCCATGAAGTCCTCTTCGTGCTTCTTGCATTCGAAATGCTTTTAAAAACTGATGTAGCTCATCATGGACGCGTCATGACGACAGCAGGAACATTGATATTAGTAGCAATCGAGGAAAATGCAAGAGCCTAAACCCCCAACCTCAAACCACATAGCCCAAAACCTACACCCTGAACTCTAATTCCTACATCTAAAATCTTACACTGGAACCCTAAACCCTAAACCGCAATTGTGAGCAGTACCCTGAACGCTGGAGCCTAAAGCCTACTTGGAGGGTCAGGGGACTTGCTGAACAGGTTTATAGTGGGGATAACTGGATATATAATGTGACCTATGGGGGTTACATGCTTACCAAGTCCCCCTGACGTTCAAGTAAACCCCAAAGCCATCCATACAGTCCTCCAGCTGCGGAAGGATGTTTGAGAAATCCCAGGAGGTGTTCCTAGGCGAAAGCTGTTCACTGCTCATGCTATACGGATCAGGCTTTGGGATTTAGAGTTTAGAGTGTGAGTTTTAGGGGTTTCACATTCGAGCAGCCCTGAACCACCTAACATGAGCTGTAGTCTTAACTTCTGGTATCCCCTTACTAACCCCTATAATACTCCCCTATATAATCCCCTAAATAACCCCTTCAGAATTGTTTAACCCAAGCCCTAAACAAAGGAGGTGACATAACCCCACCGTAAGGAGTTGCGAGTGTAACTCACATGGCTCAGGCTCTTCGACGTCGGGGCGTCCAACTCAGCCACGCTCTTCCTGGGATACGGAAACCAAGGCACAAAGCGAACCAGGTCTGCCTGCAAAGAGCCACAGCGTTTAGGGTTTGGGGTGTAGGGCTCAGGGTTTAGCGTTCAGGATTTGGGTTTAGGGTTCAAGGTGTAGGTGATGGCAACAGCAAAAGTAAGAGCGATAAGAAGAACCCTGAGAAGTCTACTAGAAAAGTTGGTATGAGGTTTAGGGGTTTAGGGGTTTAGGGTTTAGGGTGATGGCTACTAAGAACTCACGAACCACAACAAGCATTGTAGCATAGCAGTAAAGTACTCCAGGTGCTGTCACAGCGACGTACAACTACTGTTCGGTAGAATAACAGTCACATCATACTGCAAACACAAAGATCCGCTGGCAAGGCTCTCATGGAGCCCATAAAGCATCATGACCTACTGGTGGCTCGTAAGGAATAAGGGAACATAATCCCAAAGGAATCCCCATATCATATCTTCCCTCATTCCCTACTAACCCCCAGTAAGATGCGCCTGCAAAGCTTTCAGTGAGGCCCATGCAGCATCGTGAATGGGATTAGGAAAGCTGGAGCCATTGGGGGCCACAAAGACACGGTCCAGGATTGGGTTGGTGACCACCTGCCAGGGTGTTAGGGCTTGGAGTTTAGGTGATCTTTCTGAGGTCTAGGGTTTTAGGAAACAGGGCTTACATTTTGAGGGACCAGGATCTAAGATCGGAGGCCTTGGGTTTCCAGCAAGGTTAAATTCCTGCTGATTTCAACGTCGTGAATCAAAAACAGGGCCGGGGTCAGCATCTATCTCGTATTTCCCCCACTGAGCAACAGCTGGACAAACCTAATAATATAATTTCATACATATATATATATACGTATATATAACACTCTTAATATTACCCCTATTACAGACTGTTAGTGGCAGCAGTACCCAACCTAAACCCTAAACCGTCCTAAACGTTGCATTTTAGGGGAAGACGGGCTTGAGAGTATCCACCTGCAGCGTGGTGACTGTCCGGGAGGTGGCAATCACCTGGCCACAGGAGCTCAATGATTAGGGTTTAGGATTTAGGGTTTAGGGTTTAGGGATCACTAGCCCTTGTGCTTTGGGTCATAGTCCCCCTTGAGTAGATAGAATATGGGGTATATGGGGATCTTAATAGAACATGCCCAAAGGCATATTCTATCTACTTCAGGGGGACTATAAGCCCCCAAGAACTTCTAAAATGCCAGAGGGGATCATGGCAACTATCTCAGCGTCCCGACATATTTCCGATGTACCAGAACAGGGGGGGGGCCTTCACCCAACTTATGCGACTGAATGTGCTTACGTCCTTGCATCCATAGGTGGGGACAGAACATGATGCTAGAACAGCTCTGGCTCTAGCTGCTACTCTTGCCTGTCAGGGTGCTTCTAGTAATTCGGGTTCCTATTTAACCCCTTCAACCTCGGTAGTTAAAAGCATGTTCAATGACATAGCTACACAAGACATGTATTACTACAGTAGAACACCACTAGCCGGGATGTGCGTCATGAATTAGGTGGGGGGCCTAGAAAACCCGAAATCCTAAACCCGAAACCATAAACCATGCTCTTGCTGTCACCAAGCGCAGGTCACCTTTGAGAAGTCCACCGTGACAGTTCCTGCTTGAGAGGACGCCACCAGAAGCCAGGCACGAAGAGCCCACATGGCAGGCGAAACTTCAAACTTGCCAGTAGGAATGAACCAACGTTTAAAAAAGAATGTGTATATATATATGATAATAAAGATTTTTGCTTTACGCCTCACTGATGTAACAAGAAATCCTTGAAAGTTGCCTTGATTTGCGTCTGATTGTCAGTGGGACTCTGAGCCAAACGCACTACCACGAACGGTTTTCAGCCATGTGATTACCACCGCAGCGCGGCTGCACAAGGTCCACAGTATCCCCCTTAATCTCCCCTATAGTAGTCCCCTGTCGAATCCCCTATAGAACCCCCTTTGAGGAGTTTAAACCCTAAACCCTAAACCCCAAATCCTAAACCCTATACCCCAAATAGTAGTTTCCATTTTCTCTTCCATTATCCCAATATATTCCCTACATAACCCCCTTTGAGGAGTTTAGACTATAGCTCACTTGTTGTGGTGGAACTTCATGGCTTGGACTTTCCAAATACAGGCTGTCTGAGGGTGTTTAGGGTTTAGGGTTTAGGGTGTAGCAAGTTCTAGTACTCCTCATCTTATTTCTCTTGCTATTAGTACTACTACGACTATCAGTACTACTATTACTATTATTACCTTAAACCCTAAACCCCAAAGTTATTGGTATTATCTGTGTTTGATATAAGCCCGCAGCCGGGAACTTGAAGGGCTGTGCCTGCATCTCCAAGAGCACTGCCAGGGTCGCCAAATAAGGCCAACAAGCCACCTGAGGTTGGGGTTGAGGGTTAATGGGAGTTATAAGGGGTTTAGGGTTTAGGGTTTAACTAGGGGAGTTTATAGGGGTTATTAAGGGGGCTACTGGGAGTTTAGACCATGGCTCACCTAGGCGGTGAGCGCAAGGATCGCGTGGCTCATGAAGATGTTTTCTTTCTGATGCTACGTATACCCCTGTGTACGTGGATGGAGAATATAAATATTAAAATCACTATGCACGTATGTAAATACAGTACATATATGAATGGACACTAATGAAAGCCAAAACCACTGACAAGCTGCGGTCTGAGAGGCCATGAAGTCTGCATAATGTCTCAGGGCTACAGCCACAGCAGACTCAGCGCCCTAACCCTGAACCCGCAGCAGCCAAATGAGTTGAGTCCCGGGCTTCAAAAAGAGGCTTCACATGCTCAACGCCTCGAAAGGCAGGCACAAGCAACATACCATATCATCAGAGGGGATGAGAATATGCCCCTGTCCTAAGCAGGTGTCGTAAAGGAATAATAAACCCTACATAGTAGTTTCAAGTTTCTTTTCCATTATCCCAATATTACCCGAATATAACCCTAATATTCTATCTACTTAAGGGGGACTATACCCTAAACCCTAAACCCTAAATAGTAATTTCTTTTCCATTATCCCAATATTACCCTATATGAACCTATAACCCAATTTTCTGAGCCATCCCGATCCTAATTCATGGCCCCAAACCTGACCATGAAATGGCCTTCAGCTAGCAATGAAGGCTTAGGACCTAGGGTTTAGGGTTTAGGGTTTAGGGATACTGCCCAAACAGCCGGGTTTAGGGTTTAGGGTTTTTTGGGGGGTTGGGGGTGCTACTATGTAGGGTATGAAGGGGTCAGGTTCATCTCTTGAGACACCTCGCACCTAAACCTTCACCTGAAAGTATAGCCCACATCCTACACTGCCCCCAAACAATCCAAAACCCTAAGCCCCGAACCCAAAACCCCAAGCCCCAAACTCTAAACATTAAAAACTGAACCCTCTAAAACCGAAGCCCTCAACTCAAATCCAAATTCCCTAAACCAAAACCCTATACAGTAGCTTCCATTTTCTTTTCCGTTATTATACCCCTATATTTCCCTATTACAATAATATCCCGCAAGCCCCAAACTCTATACCCTAATCCCTATAACCTAATCCCGAACCCCTAAACCCTCAACCAAACTCTAAACACAAAAGCTGCCGGCTTTGTGCCACCACGTACGCAGAGCTCTTCCTTCGGCTTTGCATCGCAGCCTTGCGGGGCAGGTAGGCTTTAGGGTTTTGGGTTTGGGATTTCGGGTTCAGGGGCTATTTACTTGGAAGAAGCTAAGCTATGGGTCAACAATGTTGGTAGACCTCCAGTTTAGGGTACAGGGGTATTGGGTTGAAGGATGGTTTTCATCTGGGGTGCAGGGCGTTTGGTTTCAGGATTCGAGTTCGCGGGCTCTCACTGAGGTCTCGAAGGATCCGTGTGGCGATTTCGGGCAAGGCATTACAATCATGAAGACGTACCACCCTAAACCCCAAACCCTTTCAAATACCCAATTGTTCGAAATACGTTCACCAGCATGTAAACCCATTCCTGAAATCCATCATGTCTTGAGGTTGTTCCTACATCATTTCCTCAAACCAATTCCTTTTTACAAGCCATTCCTAGAATCAATTATTTTCAAAGTCCATTCTGTTCCCAATATCCATTCTAGGGCCCAGTTTCTATTTAAGCCTGAGCATGCACGGTTAACGTTTACCACTGCAACGCAACATGTTTCACAGTTGAGTATTTTTTATTTTGGTGGTTGAACCTAGTAAGATTATATTCTTTATGTAAGATACTATACCCCAAAAGGAGGATAGAATCTTGCTCTATATTGGGTACCATAGTATCCCAAAAAGAAATACTACTCAGTTGCCTGCCATCACAATGAAATCTTTAGCGCACCAGAGCCATGCTCACTCCGAAAAGTTTCCGCGACAAAGATGAGATGGCAACCAAAAAACACCACGATATAGTACAATATGATACAATACCGTACAATACGATACTCACATATACATCCACCGTAATGCGGACGGAGGGGACTGAACATATCTACGCTGAAGTTCCTTAATATGCTCCTCTATAGAATGCTTCGTAGGGACTCTCATCATCCCTTATAACCTCACAGATCTGGACCCTAACCCCAAACCCTAGACCCTAAACCCTAAATAAACCGCAAACCCTAAACCCCAAACCCCAAACCCCAATATATACCCTATAATCCCCATATAACCCATTATAGTAGTTTCCATTTTATTGTCCATTATCCCAATAATAACCCTAAACCCAATACAGGCCTTAGTCTTTTGAACCATGCTCTCCGTTTCCTTGACGAAGAGCTCGTACCTGCCACGACCCTCTGCCAGGAAAAGTTTGTGTTTCAAGGCTTAGGGTTTAGGGTTTAGGGCTTAAGGGCTGGCGGTTTAGAGTTTAGGGTTTAGGGTTTGGAGTTTAGGGTCGGTTTAGTGCATGAATAAGGTTGGGGTTGCAGAATAGCTCACCAAGACGAGACCCCCAAAAGCAACCCTGATTGCAGCCCTCAACAGCATGTCCCAGTTTGCTTGGCCCAAAACCTCTGAAGAAGGCCCCCAAAAACCTAAACCCTATATAGCAGCTTCCATGTTCTTTTCCATTAAACCCCTAGATCTCCTTACTATACCAAATCAAAACCCTTTATAGTAGCTTCCATTTTCTTTCCATCCATCAGTTTCCATGTGGACTTTGTCCTTTGACGGATCCCTCTAAGGTATGGGTCCTCTGCTGCAGGTCCTGCAACCAGGACGAGACGACCTCTGGATACAAATGATCCGCAATCTTGGAAAGCACCTCTTCTGCTTTCTGAAGCGCCTGCCTGGTGTGCCACCCGCTCGTGCGCACCACGGATCATCATCATAAACAACCCAGATTGTGAGCAGATGCTTGATATGCGGAGTTCATGTCTCCTGGAATGTTCAGTCTATGAAACCCCGTGGTGAGCTGCTGTCATCCCTGGTATCGAATTATGACATTAAAGAAAGTGGAAGGTCTACCTATAGCAGCTGTCGCAACTTTCAAACTCTAAGCCCCTTTCTACTGGACTCACTGGTGCTTGGTAGGCAATGAGGCAATAAAATCTGACATAATCAACTTCCTTATTCCCTACTGACCCCCAGTAGATTTAGCGCCATTGTGATCCTGAGCTTCTGACTTCTGGGTAGAGTCTCTTGCTGCTTGGGACTCTTGCCGATTTCTGGCCTGGTAGAGGTAGGTTTCCAGATAGGTTGGGGTTTAGGGCTTAGGGTTTAGGGCTTAAGGTTTAGGGTTTAGGGGTCTAAGCACTTAGAATCATGGAGAGTCATATGAAAAACTAAATGGAAACTACATGCATGCATAAATAGGGGCAAAAAGATGTTATCTTCACCTAAACAAACATGGAACCCCATTTAGTTTGGTGCAGGGTAGCTTTCCAGGTATTGGGGTCTAGGGTCAACTTTTTTGTAGTTTTTGCTCGTAGCATGACTGCGACCAAAGTAGCCACTAGTTCAACGAAGCATCACTCACTTCCTCCGACTGGTAGTCCGACTGTAACCACAAACCATATTCTGCATCACCATGTTGATCCTTGTAACTTCAAGTACCCACTTTCCCGTCATTGCCGACGAGCTCTCGCCATAACCAAGCAGGGAAATTCCACAATGGGGTTTCTTCTCAAGGGCCTGATACTGAGGGTATGATTGTTGTGCCGGGAAATCCCCTAAACCCTAAACCCTAAACCCTAAACCCTAGACCCTAAACCCTAGACCCTAAACCCTAAACCCTAAACCCTAAACCCTAGACCCTAAACCCTAAACCCTAAACTCTGAACTCCCTACTTGGAGACATGACTACGTGCCAAGGCCATGCCCGACGTGCCTCTTGGTCTTCTTGCAGCGAGATGGGACTGTGAAGAACGCCTTTGGTCCAAAATGCGCCACAACTGTGACTAAAGCTGAAAATTGCCGATGAAGGGAAGTATACTAGGAAGAGTACAGGGGAAGCATACTTGGGATAGCTCTTGGCTCTTAGGGATACTTCTTAGGACCATAGGATACGGCATTCGTCTGTCACTGCCTGCAGACACTTGGTGCAGTCCAGGGGCCATCATAGAGGCCCTCAAGATATTCTCGTGGGAGGTCCTGAGCAGCGAGTGAATCATGGGTCCATGAATATGGGTCCCTTAAAGAAGAAACCCCCACCAAACCCAAGCTCCCATTAGAGGCGAAAGGCCCTCTACTGGGTTGCTGTTAGGGAACTTACTTCAAGTTACTATATTGGGGAATCCCTGTTATCTACTATACATACCCATTATGGTAANNAGTCCCTTAACAGCAACCCAGGCTTACCAACCCTTGAGTCCAATACGTTCCCTTGTTCCCTGCATGCGCGAGCCTGATGGTCATTGATACCCCGGTTGTTCTTCACAAACTCCTCCTTCGTCATCTTGTTCTTGATGCCTTGCAGGAGCCCCGGCTGCTAGCATGGAATGACGACATGAACCAAACAAGGGAAACTCCTATGTTACATATATATATATATGCTACAATATGTATATATATATACATATATATAGATATATGGTAATTTCCCAAAATAAGGGTACCACAATATAGACCCCAATATACTATGATCCTTATTATGGGGACCCCCAAAATGGTACCCCTAATTTTGGGAAACCAACATATCATATTATGTATTAATAAGAGCTACTCCACGGATCCATTCCTCTACTACGTACTTACGATCAATGAGTCAATCAGAGCGCGAAGGCCTGGATTGTGGAGATCTGTCTGCAGCATGATCAGCGAGAAAGACAACACCTGGGGGTCTCCAGAAATTAGGGATTTGGGTTTAGGGTTTAGGGTTTGTATCCTTTTTGGAGTATAGGGTTTAGGGATCCTTTCTGGGGGTTCTTTCACTTTGGTTTACAGTCTTTGGGGAGTCGCAAGGAAGCATTCTCTTTCGAGATCCCTAAATCCTAAATCCTGACTCCTAACCTAAACCCCTAAACGAAAATCCCTGCATAACCCCTGTCTAGCTTGAGCCTTCTCCTACATCCCGACTCCTAAACTCCACTTCAGGAGGGGCGCGAAGGCGCAGTCTGCGTTGGCAAACCGCTCCGGGTTGTCACTGCAGTACTTTTCCGCAAACTTCTCCATCATGCGATCGATCTTCTGCGCCTCAGACTACTGGCTTGCTGTTTTTGAAACTTGAACTAGGTTGCGTACCCGAATCTGGGTGTAGAATGAATAATAGAGTTTCCCTATTATAGGAACTTAATTTCAGTTCCTTCACAACAACCCAGTCTAAGGGCCCATGGGGCCTGAATAGGGGTTAAAGTGGGGTTGTATAAGGTTGAGAATTTTCGGAGTATACTCTAACTCCCTAAACCCAGAAACCCTAAACCGCTAAAGCCATAAACCATGGATTAGGAGTTAGCGGCAAGCCAAGAAGCTTGATGAGTAGACTTCGAAAATCTAATGGAAGGTACTGGGTGGAGGATTTCAAAGCGCTAGGGGTTGCAGGTTTATGCTTTAGAGTTTAGGGTTCGGGGTTTAGGGCTTAGGGCTTAAGGCTAGGGGTTCTCTCCTAGTCACCGCCGAAGCTTTGTACTACCCGGGAATTTCAAAAACAAAACTAATAGAATACTTCGTAGGGATGCTTAAGAGCCCGCCTTGTGGCCCTAACCCCTACTACCTTAGTTTTGGCTACTGTCCTCATGCTGTGACAATCCCCCAACATGACAATCGTAGCACATCATATTTCAAACCCTAAACCCTAAACCCTAAACCGCATGGCTTTTCATGACTGTTATAGGTAGATCTCCTGTAAGCCCTCAACGCTCCATAATCACTACATCTCGCTTGAATCTCGCCCATAACTCAAAATCCTGTCTACAATCCCTGCATCTCCTCATTAAACAGGCCCAGAATGCCAGAACCCCCAAACACCCCAAAACCCTAGACCCTAAACCAAAAACTTGAACCTGAAACCCTGAAACCCTAGAACTCTAAACCTCAACACCCTGAAATCCCCATAAACCCTTTCCGCCAGCCTCCCCAGGAAGTCGGAAGTACGACAGGAAGTGCCGCAAAGATCCGTCCAAAGACTGGCAAAAGGTTTTGGGTTTAGGATTCAGGGTTGAGGGCCGAAATCCTAAAACCTAAACCCTGCACTTCCCCTTAACCTCTTTAGGGTGGAGGGCTTAGGGTACAGGCTGTAGTAAACTTGGCTCACACGCGAAGTGCTCCCGCAGCTTTTTCTCTCAAGGGGGGGCGTCCAATTTGGCTAATAGGGTTTAGGGTTTAGCACGGTACGTGCCCCTGGATTTAAGGATTGTTTTGGGGTTTAGGGTTTAGGGCGTAGGGTATAAGGTTTTGGGTTTGGGATTTACGGCTTAGGGTTTAGGATCTCCAGTACAAAGACGCCAGACGGGTGACCATCTATGTGGAAATTTTCAAAACTGGGGGGCCGCAACATGCACCCCCTAAACACTGTAATCCTTACTACCGGGACTCCTACAAAAGGCCTCTGAGTTTCAAAGTCCCTGTCTTTCCTCAACTGGACACTGCCATGTGAGCTCTAGTCTAAACTCCTAGCATCCCCCTGTATAAACCCTATAATACTCCCCTGTCAAGAATCCCCTAAATAACCCTCCTTAAGGAGTTTAGACTCTAAATCTTAAACCCAAAAAAACCTAAATAGTAGTTTCCATTTTCTTTTCCATTATCCCTATATAACCCCTACATAACCCTATATAATCCCCTATATAGACTAATCTTAGGTCAATGAACCCTAAGCCCTAAACCCTAAACCCATGGCCGTCCTGAGCCTTGAAGTCCAGACCGTCCACCAAGGCGAAGAGGGCACTTCTATTGAAGGGCTTGTCCTTGTAAGCTGATAATTGGTTTAGGGTTTAAGGTTTAGGGTTTAGGAATTAGGGTTTAGGGTTAAGGTTTTAGGGTTTAGGGTTTAGGGGAGGAAGCCCTCGTATTTAGGAGGCTTTATGGTATGCATTCGCTGTTTTCGTAAGCAAGAACTTTATCTTCAGTCACTGCCCTTCTAGCCTTCCTGTAATAATGGATTTTGGTAACCCCAGCCCCCCAAAAAAGGACCTTATCACTATCATGTGGCTCCTATACTTGGAGGGTTAAGGAGACTTAGCAAGTAGACTTGCAACCACTGTAAGACAAAACGACATTGATCCCCGTCATTCGCCAATGTACTAAGTACCCCTGTCCCTGAACGTAAGGAGTGTAGAGTTCTGATCACAAAGCAGGTCTGAGATGGATGAAAAAGAAAGGACCAAAGTTTGGAGTTTTGGATTCAGGGCTTGGAGTTGTGGGGGTTTGGGGGCTTTGGGCTTAGCTTTCGGTCAGGCAGCATTTGGCCGACTTCAGACATCTAAGGGGAGCATAGTCTAATTCCATGCATCTTGTCAGTACCATCCTTTGACAATCCCCCGCCGAATGCTTCGTGATTCTCAAGAGTCATCAGACAAAGCATCCCATCCCAGATCCCTGGCAGGACGTACAATATGGTACCCTACACTAGCATGGGTACAGATGAACAAGCCTCAGGGGCCCTAAACCCTAATGTGAGACATCGCCAAACGGCCTCGCCCAGGTAATCGCCAATGGCGGTCTTGTCCAGGCCTCAGCCATGCAATTAAGAATTCTGTATATTGTAGGGGCTGCTGTAAGTACAGTAGAGCAGATATAGATATTGTATTAGCTAAATGGAAATTATGCGGCAATCATATTTGTCAAGTTACACTAACAGGACCATTACTCTCCCACTGTCTCCGTATATGTGTATATATATATGAGTATACACATAGATACAATTACAGACACAAATATAGAATACCCGTTCCAATTGAGTGGTCCATGCCTTTAGCGGTAAAGCGTACTAAGACACGACTCTTTGACAGGCATGCTACTGCAAGTCGTGGCGGCCAGCATTCTTGTCGTAGGAAGGAAACCCTAAACCCTCAACCCGCTCAAAAATTCATCAAAACCCACAAACACGCCGATGACTTGAAGACATTCCTGCCGGAGACCTAAATTAGAAAACACACCCTCAATGGGTACAACTACCCTTTTGAGCAGCTCCGGTTATTGCTGGTTTATGTGACACAACAATTGAAACCCTAACCGGCTCTAGAGTCCACAAAACTGTTGCCCCTCCTAAATATGCATCCACAACACCTTTAACGATCGTATGCCTCAACGCTAGAGCTTTGCTCTTCCCATGCTCTCTCTCTCTCTCTCTCTCTCTAGCAGACGTGCAGGGCCGGAGGTCTTGGCCATACGTTTAGATAAGCGAGCAAGTTTAAATGCTGAGTGCCCTCCATACAGCCAGCGGCTGCTCCCACCCTACGTCTGTCAACGCGGTTTTCGGGTTTAGGGTTTGGGGCTTAGGGTTTAGGGTTTAGGGACACTAGACGTTGCCACTGTGATCTGTCATTGGCAATGCGACAGGGAGGTCCTAAGCGGTGTGACCTGGCCCTTTTGGGTAATGTAGGGGCTATAGGGCCCAATACTTGACAATGATATGGAAAAGATGAAGGAAATGAACTGCAAACTAGATTAGGCGGGTCTATAGGGATTTGCTGGTTTAATATCCTAAATTATAGTACCACTAAAGATTCTGTGAAAACCCTGATTAGAGGGTTTATGGGATTCCTCCTGGGTCTATACGGATTTGCGGATTAAATGTCCCAAAATATAGTACCACTAAAGATTCTGTGAGAATCCATGATTAGGAGGATTAGCATGGGATTACGAATTGTAGCAATAACAGTCAGTAAAGGTAATGATATCAATAATAAGAAGAATAGTACTCGCAATAATATTAGAAATAATGGTAGTAGTAATAGTGAGTTGGAGTGTGCAGAGCAGGTGTCAGCTAGCAAGTGACAGTAACATGAACTATGATTGTTTAGGGGTCCCATGGGATTGATGGTTCAGGGCTTACGGTTTACGGTTTAGGATTTAGGGTTTGCTCCTATTAGGGAATATGTTCGGGAAGGTATTAGGGACTATACTAAACAACCAAGAGGATACATGGGGATTTCTCGAAGAGAAGAAAAAGTAATATGAGAATACAGCTCCACCAGCTCCACCTTGTATTCAGCGGAGTACGGGCCCTGTCATTTCTACTGCCCTAACCGTAAAAGCTCAATGCCTCAAGGAGGGGGCTCAAGCCTCTGGCAGAGTAAAACCCTGAACGCTACCCCCCGAAACCCTGAACCCTACTCCCAAAGGAAAGCAAAATCTCAGTTCCATGGCCAAGCTCTGTGTTCTTGAAGAGCGCAGCCAGGGAAGCCGGGTCGTCGTTCAACTTGCCATGGAACACATGTTGGTGGTTGTCAAAATTATGGTCCTTTCTGGGGTACCTTATTATAATGCGGCACCTAATATTTAGGATACCCAAAAAAGGACCAT